AAGGATAGCTGCAAGTTTCTTGGCTACAAGTGAGTTGAAGCCTGAACTATACACATAGGAAGAAACTGTATGAAAAAAAGAAAATGCCACCAACAGAGCAAGAGCTGAGCCTCCCCGCCTGCCCGCTCGTGGCCGCCCACCCCTGCTGGGATACTTGGATTGGCTCCTGTACCCCAGGCAATCATTGCTGCCAGCTCTGCACTAACAGCTCACACTAGTGCCCTCATACCAATCCTCACTCTTTAAGCCACTTGCAAAATTGTGAGGCTTTTTGTTTTATTTTTCCCCCTGGGGCTATCATCATGGCCTTCATTATTGCATGTTCTAAAAAACAGTCCTTTGAAAGTTGGGAACTTTCTGTGTTTTGCTTTTAGTTCTCAGGATGTTATTTGCAACACCAGCCGCTGTAGAGAATCCCTTCTGAGCCTCTGAGGAAGAGGCCTTCCTGAGGCCTCATGGCCCACCAGGACAGTGATTACCCCAGGCACCACCTCACCCACTGCAGTGGGTCTTGTGGCTGCTCACGTCCCCCTTGCTGCTGTGAGGTGCTTAGTGTCAGGTATGTTTCAGGGGATGGCTGGTACGTGATAGTGTGGACTTTTGTGCAATAATCTTACCTAACTTTTCTTAAATTATATTCCATTTTTCTTCATTCCCTCATGAACTTATTTCCTTCCTTTCTCCCTTCTTCCCTCTCTCCCTTCCTCCTTCCTTCCCTTTCTCCTGTCCTTTCTCCCTCTCTTCCTTCCTGTACTGGGGATTAAACCCAGGACCTTCCCCAGCCCCTTTGCTTTTTTATTTTGAAACAGGGTCTTTCTAAATTGCCTAGGCTGGTTCAGACTTGGAACCCTCCTGCCTCAGCCTCTCAGTACAAGGATTATAGGGGTACACTACCACACCTGGCTATTTTCTTCTTTTCTAAAGTATATATCTCTGTCAGCCCCATCATTGTTTTGGCAATGAACTATTGTACAAATTTGTAAACAAGAATTATCCTAATTATTTTAAGAACCATTCTTTCAATCCACTGTTACTACCCTTGCAAAAGTTAGCCCTTGCATTGCTTCACGTTGCAGAGGCCTCTGGGCTGGTCCTGCAGCATTGCCTCTTCCCAGGTTGCCTGTGCCCCTGTCCGCTGAGTCAGTGCAGCAGCTTTGGCACAGGCTCTTTCTTAGCAGTGACACCTCTGCCCGCACTACTTCCAGGCCCATTTCCTGTTGCCCCTCCTGCTCCTCACACTCCTGCTCTGCCTCTTTTTGTTGTTCTGCTCTTCACTCACCTTCCTCTACTCAGAATGAAAGTTCCGCCGATCCCTTTGCGGGCCGCCGCTTCTGGGATGCACTTCTTCTCTTGCTGCACACGGATGGTTGTGGGAACCCTGTGCCGCAGGCCACCGGGCATCTCAGTGTGAACTAAACGGCAGTGCACACCCTGCCAGGTACTTCACAGGGCTTCCGGCTGTCTTGAGTGGCTTTAGTGGCAGTATCATCTACGACATCTACCCTGGCCCAGTGCTCTGCTAGGGTTGTGCAGCACTAGGGCTATCGTGTGCGGCAGTTATTTAATTGTCTGTGTTATCCTCAGGAGCAAGCGGGTAGTTCCGTCCTGATACTTTCATGTTCTCACCTCTGACCAGACTAGGCACTCAGTAACCATTTAATAAACAAAAGAGGGAATAAAGCTACAAAGGCCATGTGCACACTGTTGTGGGGAGGAAGAGCAGGAAAGGCCTGGCAGCCGGGCCTTCACCCTGAGCATCAGGAAGCTATTGTGAGGGGCTGAGGGGACACTCAGTGGTTGAGCACTTGCCTTCACGCATGCGGCCCTGGGATTGGCTCTCACCACCACCCCAAGCAGAGCATATTATTTTGAATTAAGATACACCCCCCCCACACACACACACATACACTACCTTTTTCCTGTTACAGACTTCTTAAATTTTAATGTACCTTAGTGGTTGAAACATAGACCCTAGGACAAGAGTGAGTTTGAGACCCTGGAACCAGAGTGAGTTTGAATCCCAGTTCTGCCATTTACACACTGACTTGTGTGAGTTTGAGCTTGTAGCTTAGCCTCTTCATGCCTCAGTATACTCATGTGAAAATGGGGTGATAATGGTTCATAATTCATGGGGTTGTGAGAATGAATCATTTTGTGTAAAGTGCTTAGAATAGGACCAGGCACATAACAGTGAAAGGTGGAAGTGTCAGCTGAGACTACTAGTGTTATTCCAGTTCAGTGTAGTTTGGCCGTGCTGTACCATTGTTTCTTCCTAAACCTGAAAAGCTGGTTTTTCGGTTGAAGGCGTGCGTGTGTGTGTGCGCGCGCGTGTGTGCATGTTACTGGGGCTAGAACCCAGGGCCCCACAGATGCTAGGCATACACTGTCCCACTGAGTTTAAGCTGGGTTTAATCTGTGGCCACAGCTGACACCGCCTCCGCGCCTGCTGCCTGGCCCTGCCATCCGCTGTGGTCACAGCACCTGCCGCCAGCTGCCCCTCCACCACCCATACCGACTTTCTGGTTGCTGCAACAAAGGTGCATACTACACAAACAGGAAGCCAGTAGGCTCTGTTTCTTCTTCCTAGTTTGGCAGAAGAGAAAGGGGAAAACCAGGGCCCTTAACAGTTTGTTTTAGAGTGTAAATGTAACTTCTTATTCATGCTCTCCAGCTTGGACTAGTAATAAATCTCTCTAGAACCCAGAGAGCTGTGTTTAAAATCATGGTTTTATTTTATTTGGTGAGTAGGGGGTTGAGACAAGATCTACCTATGTAGTCTAGGCTGGCCTTGAAGTCACTGTGTGCCCGGGGTGGCCTCGAACTTGCAGTGGTCCTCCTGCTTCAGGCTCCCAAATGCTAGCACTGTAGGTGTGTGTCACCATGTCTGGCTTAACGCAGTAGTTTTAATGTAAAATCTTTTCTGAGTGCAGGACAGCTGTCTGAGGATTTTCAAGAGAGTTCTGCTAGGAAGTGGCAAAGGTAATGGGGTGCTTTGCTATCCAGCTTCCCACTGGAACCTGCTGGAGTTGTCAGGTCAGACTATAGGTGGCAGTGTCGGTCCCTCCGCAACCCCCAACCTCCTCCAGGCGCTGTGGGTTTTGGCTGGTCCTTAGCATTTGCTTGTGGCCAGACTTTGACTTGGGGGACAGACAGGTGGATTTTTCTGCCTTGTTTCCAGTACACTTTATCCTGGGGTCTCAAGTTGGCTTTAGAAGCTGTGGCAGCTACTGTGGAAGGCTCTGCTACCTCAGTCCTACTGCCCCGCCCTGCCCCACCCCGCCCCCCTGAGCTCTCTCAGATGAAGCTGATCTGAATCATGCATTCTTTGGAGATGCCTTGACTTTTCATTATGAGAACTACATGGCCTTTCCCAGATCACATGCTGTCACTGTCTACGCTAAACTGCCCACATTTACCGTATATTTGTTGGGAGTTCCAACAGCCTTTTGATAGTTGGACTAAACAATATAGAGGTAAATAATACAAAGATGATCTACATCTTGACTCGTTAAATTTATATTTCTGCACAGAACTGGTCAACAGTAGCCCCTCCAAGGGTGGCTTTAATCACAGGGAGCTTTGTTCGGTGGGGCTTCCCTGGGTTCACTTACCTTCCCAGTTACAGGAATGACGGGTGCAAGTACCTACCACCGCTGGCCATGTTCTGCGGTAACGCACCTGCGGAGGCTGCACACCCTGCCTGGCAGACCTGGCCAGTGGAGGAGCTCATGCCAGGCCCTGCTCCATGCTGCAGTGCCTGTGACCTGTAGGGCACCTCCAACGTTTTGTTTTCTAAAGCATAATCAATTCTAAGGTTCAGTCTTCAAGGTGGATGCATATCCTTATGGGGCTTTTCCTTTTGTCTAAAGCTGAAATTCCCGTCTCTGTCCAAAATCTCATTTATTTTTGGAGCAGTGTCAGCAGAGACAGAGTCATTTACCTAAGTCTCACCTAGCGTGAGGTTCTCTGAGGGCTAAAGCAAACTAAAGCCTACAGAAGGAATTCAGCCAACAACTGTATTTTGTTAGGTGTTCGAGGGTGGTGCCACTAGTGGTTACGACGTTTAGAATTCAGGCAGTTTCACATAAAAGATCTGATTCCTGCACCTCTCAAGAAGTGGAAAGGTCCACTGAGACTTGACCGCCACCTCACAGTTAGCTGGAGCCTGGTCAGAGCAGCCCCTTGGCTGGGTTGTGTGGCTCTCGCCTCAGTAGCTGCTCTCATTAACGTGACCTGTCTGGTTCTGTGGGCATTTGAATTGTGGCTTCTTCTTGTCCTCTGCCACTGTTGCCGTGGTCTTTCTCAGTTTTCTGGCTATGTGCCTTACAGCCTTCCAGAAAGTTCCAAGCTGGTGTGAGCAGTGGTTAAAGGGTGCAGGAGGAGAATCTGCTCCATGAGGCTCACATGCTGTGCCAGCCCCACCCGGCCTTCAGGGAAGGGGGTCATGGGCAGGGTGGGGCGGGTTTGCTGGCGCCATTCCATCTGTTCACTCAGCCTGAAAGTTACAAGGAAGGTTTCCTTGCTGAGGGGGTGGGGCCTTTTTATAAAATATGAAAGAAAGAAGCCAGTGACAGCCCCAGCCCATTGCTAGCTTCCAAGACCGGCTATTGCCACAGAAGGCTAAGCTTCCTGTTTACCAGCAGGCCCGAGACAAAGTGGCTATGCTTCCTAGCCATGCTGGGTCTGGCACACAGGCCAGGTTCTGTCTGTCAAGATGGTGGGCTGAATGTTCCCTCTGTGCTTGGCCAGTGGGCTGGCAGGGCCCCCATGGCCTGGGCCTGGACGCGAGCCACCCTCGGGAGGGCACCTGCTGGAGGGCACTGCTTTGGCGGCAGAACTGGCCATGGCACTGGGGAAGGAAGCAGGAGAAGGAGGGTGGCCTTCGCCTCCTTGCTGCCTTCCGCCTCAGCTCTGCTTTCCCTGCACAGTGGGATCCAAGCAAAGGCCCAGGGCACAAAACTGAATCTTTCAATAATAAATTTGTATGTTTTGTTTTTAAGTTTCCCAGAAGCAGCATGCAAGATCCTTCGAGAAAAGCGTTTCTTTGCAGCAGTGTGCTCTGCGCAGGACTCGGGCCCCTGGTGTATTACCTCATACAAAGTAAGTATCCCACTACCCTCCAGAGGCCTGGCCACCTTCTCCCAGGGTCCCACTCCTCTAGCAGAGGAAATACTCGAGATGCTTTCAGCAGATTAGAGGAAGGAGGAGAGGACTATTTTAGAAGCCAGTCTGCCATTCCATTGGCTGAAGTTTCCTCCTCACTGTATAATCTGTGTTTCTCCAGGAGCCACAAGTACAATAAGGGGACCAGGACTCATTTGCATAAGAAGCCTTGCAAAGCAAGACAGGGTTTCAGTCCACTGCACACAGGCATCTCTCAAGGTTTCTGAGATTCTAGCCCTCAGGCCTGTAATCCGAGCACTCTGAGGCTGAGGCAGAGAATTACAAGTTTAAGCCCAGCCTGCTGACACCCTATGGCAAAAAATAAGAAGGGCTGGGAATATAGTTCACTGTGAAGGCCCTGGGTTCAATCCCCAGTATCGGGGGAAAGAAATCCAAGTAGTAAAGAGAAGGAAGGGGAGAGTATCGGATGGTCGCAAATGGAGAAAACGGTGGCCCTTTCTCAGGTATCATCAGGCTGCCTGCTGTGCCACTCTCCTCTGTGGCCTTAGTGGAGGAGGGGACATCGAGCAGTGGACTCTAGCAAGAGCAGAAAATAAAAGCAGAGTCCAGGATGGCAAAATCCCTGCAAGTGTGGCTGCCAGCCACACTGTTCCCAAATTTGAACCTGTAAAGACAGACAGCAGGCCCTGAAGCCAGGACACTGAAGGTCATTTCAATGCCCCTGGTGACAAAGCAGCCTTAGCATTTTTCTAGACTTGACTTTTTGAGGCTCCTTCATTTACGCCCAGCTTGGCCGCTCACCCTGGCGCAGCGGCATTTAGGCTTCTCCGCGGTCACTAGACAGACAGCGCCGTGTCCCCTCCACTCACTCTTCACACAGAGCCGCCGCGCGCCTGAGTGTGGAAGATGAGGTGGCCGAGATGAGCGTGGCCAGGAAAGCTTCATGGAGGGGTCGATGGGACAGTGACCGTGTGCTTTCGGGCCACGCTCAGCCTTCTGGCCTGACAGTCACTTCCCCTTTGCAAAGTGGAGGCTACAACAGCCCAGCTGGTGGTGAGATCCGGGCCCTGCAGCTGGTTGTCCTACTTGAGCCCCAGATCTAACTCTTGCCTCAGGGTGTTGCCTCGCGGGGAACCCCATCCACTTTCTAGGCCTTAATTACCTTCCTAAGGGCTAATATCAGTATGTACAGTTACTGTGAGAATTAATTGAATCACACGTGTATATGGTATCAAAATATATGGTACTTAAATTTAAAAATTATTACAGTAAAACACACATTGCCATTAATCCCCCTCAGAATCCTTCCCCTTGCTTCAGACACACTTGTGATTCTTGCCACTTATTTTTGTTTTTTCAGACAGGGTCTAACTAAGTAGCCCAGGCTGGCCTTGACCTCTCAGCAGTCGTCCTGCTCGGTCTCCCGAGTGCTGGGATTACAGGCGTCCTGCTGGAAGTCTTCTTTTGTTCATGTCTTTATTGGGCATGATGAAAAATATGGTGTGCTCTGCCCAGTGCATCCAACAGAAAGGCAGGTCTGTAAAAGACGTGATGGTGTGTCCTCCTCCACCACAGTCACTGGATCTGGCACCGTGCGACTTCTGGCTCATCACCAAAGTCAAAATGACCATAAAAGGGAAGCATTTTGAAATGATTCAGAACATCAAGGCAGGGAAGACAACACAACTAAAGACTCTTACAAAAAGGGACTTCTGGAACAACTTCAGAAACTGGCAGAAATGATGGGATAAGTGTCAAAGTGAGGGGAAGGATTTTGAGGGGATTGATGGCAATGTGTCTTTTATCATAATGGATTTTTTAAAAATTTAAACATTCACTGGATATTTTGATCACACCTCAAAAGCTATTGAGATATTGAAGCATGTGAGATTTGTGAAATACTAAGATCAGTGTCTTGAGGTGGGGACCTCAACTCCTCTGCTCCCCACGGAGTAGGATCTTAACTCTCACCAGAGAAAAGCATTGCAGGACTCCTCAGAGAGAGGCACAGGTACATGCACTAAAAGTAATCAAGGCGGGTGTGTTGGCACACACCTGTGATCCCAGCACTTGGGGGGCTGACACAGGAGGATCACTGCCAGTTCATGGCCAGCCTGGGCTACATAGTGAGTTCAACCCTGAACTACGTAGTGAAACCCTGTCTCAACAAACAAGCCAATCAAAGAAAGGAGGGTGGGTTCCAGGACTGAGGTGCGTTCTGGTCGGGAACTGGGGGTGTCTGTTTGGTCTTTGGATGTCCTTTAGATGCTTTGCTGGGTCAGCTTCCCCGTTAGTGGGCTAGGTAAGAATGCAAACCATCTGCCTGTATTTCAAGGTTAGAGCTGTGGTACCCAGTTAATAGTGCTGCTTCTTGAGGGTAGAAGTGCATGGAGTTGGAAATCTGAATCCCTAAGGTTCCTGGGAACCAGAGCAGTTATGCCTGAACACAAATGAGCACTTCCACACCGTTTCTTGGCATGACGGTTCTGTTGTCAGTAATGTTATGGTCTGCCAGAC